TGCATTAGACTTCAAGTGCCTTCACTGTCTATATAATTTTCCTATTCGCCTGAGAGGTCATTAACGCTCGATGCTTCACCATCTACATCTTCCACTTCAACAAGTTGCTGAAGTAGCTTTTCTAGCTTCTTGTTAGCTTCATTGATGCAGCCTTTAAAAGCTGCGTGTATTTAAAGCACCCCGTTTAGATGGGCCATATGCTGTCCAATCCGCTTGAAGAGAAAGTTATAGAGGAGCCGAGCAACTTCGCATAGACATGGACCAATCAGATATGACAAAAGCTCTGTGGTCACAGCTAAGGCAGAACGCTATCGAGCGCACGCTTAAGGCGTGCCGCGTGGGAGGTGCGTGTGCTTGCTCTTCTGTGAGATTAATTCATCGTGGAAGTGGGATCATTCCAAACACTTTCCAAAATATACACAAATCATATAATGATATTTACGTCGATTTCAGGGGGTTTTAGGGGTCTACAGATGATTTATCGTATTTAAAAATCCAAAGGTACTCCCGATGCTGCCGCTAGCTGTCAAAAAGAACCGTATGCCCTCCCCCTTTTCTTGCCGAACTACTATCTTCTGATTTTGATACTTTTTTTCTAGTTATTCTTCCACCCGTTTCTGGGCAGCCGTACTTATCGGCTCTTTTGGCGGATTCCCTTCCCGAATCACAGGAGGGTAATAAGCCACCCGCTGCCTCTGGCAACCCTCCGGAGTTGTCGTCTGCGCCAACGTCGGAAGGACAGACACAGGGCTCACTTGAACTTTCGGCCGACCGAACTCAACGGGCGGAGGAAAATTTCTTCCTGAAAAGGCCTCTTTTTCCGAGCGCTGAGCTCGACTCGGCGGGCTTTGTTTGACGTTTCTGTATTTTTGGTGAACCTTGTATCTGGACGTTATCTAAACTGTACAGTAAAACCTTTTAATTTCTTCATGTCTTTCGTGCTACTTATATTTGTTTAAGTAGTGTGATTTGGCTGCCTGTGATCACCGCTTATTTTTAGTTTTCGTGCAAGGCCAAATGTCTAGTATAGATTGTAACTATAGTAATAAAACTAATAAAGT